AGTCTTTTTTTTGAGAAAATCTTTTAATAAATATGGAAGCCACAATAATTAAAAAATCATGCAAGTATATGTAATAGTTATAGAGGTGAAAATTCGATTTTAATAAAGGACTTTACTGGGTCAAAATCTTTTCTATACAAGGCCACAATTGGTGAATTTAACCGCATGTCCTATACTATACACCGGATTTACTATATACCGACCCAAAAGTTCTAAGCTAATGCGGCCGTTGTAAAGGAGGGACTTTACTTGTATTAGAAATGGTATAAATTTCGTGCGATTAGCTATTACCTTTTTTCTTCCCAAGCTACTTCTTTGAGACGCTTACGTTAAGGCTTTCCTGCAGGTTATGGAATTCTTCCGTCAATTGATCATTAAATGACTGCATAATCTCATGAATCGCATCATAGATGATATCGATACTAGCATGATAAACACAATTATAAATCGGCCCATTTTCATACAGTGAAATTCATTAAAAATGGCAGATTGTCTTGTTCAAAAATTAGCTTTGCCAACTGGAAAAATTATTGAAGGTTTTTTTAAGCTTTGTTCGTTTATATTGACTTTATCGGAAGCTCTGTTAACGTATTCTTACGTTGATAATTGAATAATAGTGAACACCGGTCTATTTATCAACAATGAATTTGTCAAATCAGTTGAGGGCAAAACATTCGAAACAATTGATCCTGCTACTGAAAAGTTAATTTGTAATGTCGCTGAAGCAACCGCCAAAGATATTGATCGCGCGGTTGACGCTGCCACGGAAGCATTTGAGAAAGTGTGGCAGCATGTTGACGGCAAAGAACGTGGTCGATTATTGTATAAGTTTGCCGAATTGATTGAGCGGGATAAAGAAGAATTAGCCGCATTGGAATCTTTAGATAGTGGAAAAGCTTATTCAATTGCATTAACTCAAGATCTTGTTGCTTGCATCGATATCATTCGTTATTATGCTGGTTGGGCTGATAAAATTCATGGAAAGGTAAAATAGTAGAGTTTAATAAATGGGTTAAATATTTTCACGTAAATTTATTCTTTTCATATTAATAAAGGTTGTTGAGACGGGACACAACAAGTTTTGTTACACACGCCATGAGCCAATTGGTGTCGTAGGTCAAATTATTCCATGGAATTATCCACTTGTGATGTTAACGGTTAAATTAGGCCCGGCTTTGGCATGCGGAAACACTGTCGTCTTGAAACCAGCCGAACAGACACCACTAAGTGCTTTGAAGGCTGCATCTTTGATTAAAGAAGCCGGTTTTCCGCCCGGCGTTATTAACATCGTACCAGGATTCGGTCCGATTGCTGGTACCGCCATTGCTAGACATATGAAAATTGGAAAAGTCGCTTTTACTGGTATCTACTTTATATATATTTTTAATATTTTTAATAAATACTAACGCCGCAAATAAAAAGGATCAACTGCGACCGGAAGAAGTATCCTCAAGGATGCAGCTGAAACCAACTTGAAAAAGGTTACATTAGAATTAGGTGGAAAATCACCAAATATCATTTTCGAAGATGCTGACCTTGACCAAGCCATTAAATGGGCATATTATGGAGTCTATGCAAATCACGGTCAATGCTGTACTGCTGGGTCGCGAGTCTATGTTCAAGATTCAATTTATGACAAGTTTTTGCAGAAATTTAAAGAATGTTCTCAATCGAAAAAAATTGGCAATCCCTTTGATCCTGATACTTTCCAAGGGCCACAAATATCAAAAACTCAATTTGATAGGTACTTTGATTAAGCCCATTTGATTTCATCGATCAATTTCGATTAGAGGTTTACCGCGCATTTATTGTTATTGCATAGAATTATGTCATTTATTGAAACGGGAAAGAAAGAAGGAGCAACTTGTTTTATGGGTGGTAAAAGGCATGGTGACAAAGGCTACTTCATTGAACAGACCATCTTCACTGATGTGGTATGTAAAACAGTCTTTCCATGTCATCATAATCAATTTTCTTACATTCTCCGTAACAGAATGAAGATATGAAAATCATGCAAGAAGAAATCTTTGGACCAGTCGTCGCAATCTCAAAATTTAAGACAGACGAAGAAGCAATAGAAAAGGGAAATATGACTAAATATGGTTTGGCAGCTGCTGTTTTTACGAAAGATGTTGCACGTGCATTCAAATTATCGAGCGCGATTAAAGCTGGAACTGTTTGGGGTATTGGATAAAATTCTTTTTTTTGTAATTTTTTTTTTTTATATTGAATACTAAAATATTTAAATTTTATTTAGTTAACTGCTATAATAGTGTTGACACTAATGCGTAAGTTAAGTTCAATTGAGTTTGTTTTATTCATCGCTAATATTTTATTTTTTGTATTTTAGGCCATTTGGTGGATATAAAGAATCTGGCCACGGCCGTGAGAATGGCAAATACGCATTAGAACATTATACCGAAGTTAAAACTGTCCAAATTAATCTCGGTCTTAAAATGTAAATCTCGTTGATGAATTTTAAAGCTTTTATAATAATTTCAAAGATTATTATGTGTGTTGACTTATGTTTTAATAAAAGATCCAACATAAATTGAAATTACCGTAAAGTGCTCTGTTTAGTACCTGCGACCCTGTAAAAACTTTAACCATCTTTTTATAGTAATTTCTTTAAAATTTAATTACTAATTATTAGGCTCGAGGCTAAATTGAGGTTTTAAATCTTATATTTTTCACAGGGCGAGGGGTACTTTGCTGCTTTACGGTAATACGTATATAAGGACATGGATAAATCAATTCCAAATCTATAAAAAATTCTTTTTTACTGAGTTCAGAAAAACGCATCTTATTACTGTTTGGTGCGAATAATATTTTTCTTGGGTTTCTTCAATAATTCACGTGTTGTGTGTAGCGTTCGGAATCTTTACTTGCTACTATCTCATCGCACTTTACATTGATGGCAGCGAGTGCACTTCCTTCAGGATCATATTACTAATTAGTGGAATGCTAAAGTCCTGTCTGCTCCAGGAGTTTATTGAGATGTGTTTCAATAATTAACCAGGTTAGACTCAAATAATATTTTCAGATATATAACGCAATATCGAAGCAATAAATTATTATTAATTTGATTTATGAAAAATAAAAATGCAAAATTGATTTGAATTATAGAAAAAAATAAATAATACACACATGCATTTTGTATTCCTCGCCCATGTACATGCATAGTATATTAGAATTAAATGATGATTAGTATGAAAATTTTAAATATAAAATTGTCTTTACATATCTTTTTTCATTTACAAGCAAATATATAAAATATAATTTAATAAACTCTTAATATATAAATTAAAATAAGTTCAGATTAATATGTAATTTGAATCTTTGTAAAAATAAAAATTCTGAAAAAGAAATCAATATAATATATCTTTTATGATATTATAATTATTATTAATCTTTTTAAAACTGATTTTTTCAAAATTGATAATTTACTATAAATTATTTATTAAATTTGTTTATTATTTTTAATATCTAATTAATCTATAAATTTGAATTACTAATAGATTAAATTAATTATATTATAAATTTTTATTATTTATATACTATATAAAATAAAAAAACAAAAAATAATATTAAATAAGTTATATTAAAATATTATTTTTTATATTTTAATACTAAATTTAAAGTAATAAATTAAAGAAAATAAATTAATTAATTAAAAATTATAAATTTATATATAACATATAATATATATATAGTAATAATCAAAAATGATATATTAAAAATTAATTTTATTAATAAATATAGTAAAATTAAAACATTTTCTATATTAAAATTTATAATTTTGTTATAAAATAATTTTTATTTTTATATCAAAATAAATTATTAAAAATTAAATTACTTATTAAATAATTTTAAAAATAAAATATTTTTAGTATAACAAATCTAAAGTTAGTTATTTAATATTAATTTATAGATTATTATTGCGCCAAGTATCATGCTATACATGATATACTGCGTTATAATCACCTGATCTATATCAAGAAAAGTCATCTAATATAATAAGTTATTTTAGTTATAAATAGATTCTTAGTAAAATTTCTTTTTAATTCTTATTTTATTAATATAGTTAATATATTATTCTTTATAATTTTAATTTTTAAGTATTATAACTAAATATATAAATAAATAAAAATAAATAGTTTATTCTATTTTTGAATCTTAAATATAAAATCTATAATTTATTTTAAAAAGCTAATTTTTTGATATTATATATAAAATTATATAATTTCTAAAAATAATAAATTATAATTTAATAATTAATTTAAATTTAAATTATTAAAACTGAATACAAAAGTGAAATTCTTTATAATAACATAAATATTTTGTCTTATAGTCAGATAATATTACTTGAATCTTGAATAACTTGAAATAATTCATATTAATTTTAATTAACTTTTTTCTTATTAGATTTAAAATAAATAGATTTGCTTAATATTATTTAATAAGAATTTTTTTAAAATTATATTTTATTATATCTTTTATTAGAAAATAATATTCTTATTTATAACTAAATATATTTATTTACTTCTTAAATTTAAAAAGAGATTTATTTTATTATATTTTAGAACTTCTTTTTATTAAAAAGAAATTTTTAATTGATTAAGATTTTTAATTTTTTTAATACTTAAGTTAATAATACTTTTTCCATATAAATAATATTATTTTTCATAATTATTATTTTAATTACTAATCAATTTAATTCAGAAAATTTTTTTATAATAAAATATATAAGAAATTTTTAATATAAAAAAATATTTGAAGATAAATTCAGAATAAAATAACAAGATATTATTACTATAGTAATATAAAATTCTCTAATTTTATAATCCTTCTTTGATTATATGAAATTTTATTTTTTTATAATTTTATAATTTATCATATATTTATTCTTATTTTTATAATTATATATCTATTTTCTTTATTATAATTATCTATTATAATCATATTTCTATTTTTAAATATTATATTTTATCTTTTTAATCTGAGATTTACATTTTTAATTTATATATCATATATTTCTTATATACTTAATAAAATAAAATACTTAAAGATTCTTTTAATTTTTGATAAAATAATAAAATATTAAAATTTATAATATTGATATTTTAAATACTAATAAAATACTAATATTTATAATATTAATATAATAAATATAATATTATATATTAGTAATTTAATATATTAAATAGATTATAGTTTTTTATAATATTAATATATATATTTAAATAGTATTAACTAGTAATATTATAATAATTTATATTGTTACCGTAGTGACATAAAATTCCTTAATTTCTTAATTTTTCCCTAGTTATGAAATATTACATTTTATTAT